TTTTTCATAACCAATAACCAAACCCTAATTTACTAAATTCACGCAATTAAACTTTAATTAATGGGGCAAAATCAACAATTCATGCCAATTGACTAGTCTTTGTGATGTAGATTGGATTAACTTACCTCAAAAGCTTCAAATTAGTCATTATTAAGTTGGATTTTCTTAGAATTTTTCTTCTCCTTTTTCTTCCTTAACTTTCAGCCAAGAACCACTTTTTTTCTCCTTGGAAATTTTGATTTTCCAACTAAAATTCTAGGCTTAATAAGGTGGTTTTAGGTGTTGATTTTGCTTGGTGATTTATATGGAAAATTTGCAAGAGTTTTCCTTGTTTTTTTTTTCTAAATTTTCAACATTTTTTACCTTCCTTTCAAGCTATATTTATAAGTACGAGTGGTAAACTTTTGGCTTGTTTGAGTTGATCTTGACCTTTCACTTAGTTTAATCTTTACCCTTGATTTTACTTTTAATCCTTCCCCTTTATTTGTTTTAATCCTAGCCTTCAATCTTTCTTTAAATTTCATCCATCCATCTCATAAATCTCTAACCATCCATTTGGTTGCATCATTTAATATGGGTGCGAGGTGGTTGGTTTATGTTTGGCCCAAAAATATCAATTTTAGCCCTTTAATTTATCATACCTTTTCAATTACACCCCTACTTTTAGTCCCTCCAATTTTAATCAACTACTTTTGGTCCTTCCATAAAGTCTTTTCTAGCATCTTTGTGCCTCCTTAAATTTGTTTGAAAACTTATTTGAAAACTAAAGCTTTTAATTTTATGTAATCGAATCCCTAATTTTATGCAATTAGGTCTCTAATTAAGTCCATATGCACACAATTTATTCTACACTCTTTAAAAAAATAATTTTTTTCATAATAAATTCATATACTTCTTATGGTAATTTATTCATCAATGACATAATTTTTATGCATACATTTAAAATTTCAAAATAATTATTTTGCACAAAAAATGCACTTATTCACACAAAAAATATTCACCAACTACGGAAAATTCACTTAAGTGTATGGAATATTCTTACACCTTTCTAGCAATTTTTCTATGCTCATAGAATAATTTTCACACTCATTTAAAATACTCAAAGCAATTATTTCGCATAAAAAATATTATTTATGCATTGAAAAGCCTTTAAAATATTCACCGAGCACGTGAAAAATTATCCTAAATGCATCGAATATTCTAGCACCCTTTTAACAACTATTCTAGGCACACGAGTTAATTTTCACATATGTTAAATAGATATTAATTCATTTATTAGTAGGTTCGAGATATTACAAGAACTATCTACAGTATTGTGAGATTTACGATATATTGTATCTTGTATATCGTTTATTAATCTTAAGTGGTAGCTATCATATTATTTATAATAGATGCATAGTAATAAGCTCCTAAATATCGAAATGCTTGCTAGAGTGCAAGATTCATTTGCTAGTATGAAAATGTATCTTTTTTGTTTTAATGCCGATATTACAAAGAGCCTCGCATTGGGTTTAGCTCATCATGTGCGAGTGGGAAATATTAGAAAAAGGGATTTGGGTCGGATTGTCCATGGTGGGTTGATCCGATAATAAAATTATTTATATACATAAAAAAGAACAAGCAATTGTTATGAAGTTGCTATGGTGGTTATATTCCTAACTCTCATATATGTGTGTGTGTGCGTGTGTGTATAAGTGAAAAATAGAAAAGGACTAATCAATCGATATAACATAATAAGAAAAACAAAGAAAAAATCTCTATAAAATAGAAAAAAAAAACGAAGATTTTTTTAGCACTTAGATTGTGAAATTCATATATTGATTTAATATTATTGTTTTGATCTAGTAAACTAAATCAACAAAACACCATAACTAAATCTATAGCAAATAAATAGTGGGTTGCAAAGTGGTGAATGTGTTTTGTACAATATTTCTTGATTTTGTTTTTAGTTATTTTTGTTAATTATTGTTTTTATGTTTATATAATAAGAGGTACAAGGCACTTTTTGTTCTCATAACATGTTGTTTTGTTCTATTTCATGCTTATCAAACTTAAAACAAAAGGAAAGTGAAATTTTCATAGTAGATTTTTGTGCAAACTAATATGTTAACCAATAAGTTATAAAGTATAACTCTGTTTGTGTAATGTTATTCAAAATAAAATAATTGTCCAATCTAATTCAATATGCATTGAATAACAAACATAATAGTTACATGTTTTATCTTTTATGACATGTTTGATTGTATGTATTGATCTATCATTTCTATATTACTTATGTAATTTTTAAAATTATAATGTAATGAATTGTTATACTGATGACTCATTACATTACAAGCATTATATATATATATATATATATATATATATATATATATATATATATATATATATATATATATATAAGTAGCTATGTAATGAATCATTACATGATTAAAGAATAAAATAAAAAGACTTTAATTGTAATTTTTTTTTTAACTATAAAGAGTAATCTTAAAAAACAAATAAAAAGACAAAAAAAACTTCCATACAGTAACCAATTTGTACATAAGAATAAAATATAAGGACTAAAATTAATTTTTTAAAATGTAAGGACTTGAAAAAACTAGAGGCGCATCCTACCAGTCTTACTTTCGTTCATCTGTATGACACCAAATAGGCAAAGAAGCAGCTTTGATGGGGCCCCCTTCCCTCGCGTTACCGACGTTGCCACTCAACGATCAGCCCTTCTCAATCCCCCGCTAAAACCGACAAAATATCACTACTGATTAGGGTAAAGTGGGTCCCTTGCATAAGTTCCGACTTCTACGCGGCAAAGCATCCTATATCTCGTCGGCAGCCTGTTAGCTTGCCACGTGTCCCATCTTTAAAGGAAGTTGTAGCTTTTTCTGCGACGTGTAATTTTTATTTAAATACTAGCAAGAAATGTACACTCGCGTTGAGTGTGTGTTGAGAACATTAGCTATTAGACCTTCATATAACGGCACCGTTTGTGGTGTTTTGAATAGCAGTGGTGTTAAGAGAGAGTGGGTGTGGGAAGTGAGGGTGGATTGTCTGATTCGGTGGGGACATAAATAGTGTAGACAGATGTGGCCGTTTCACAGTCACATAATCTTCTCATTTTGGATAACTCACACATTATGCATGTCCATCTGACAAAACTACCCTTGGGGTTTTATGGGCATTTACCATATTCTTTCCTTGTGCCTTATTGAGTTCTGAACGTGGCAAGGATCATACCTTTTAAGAATATTTTATTGGACATAATGGCCTTCTTATTTCGCGTTTGACACGTTTTGAGAATCAGGTAATAAAGTTTTAATATTTGTTCTTGATTTATATTAAAAGAAATCATGATGATGTCGTGCTTTTTTCCGTAATAAAACCTTTACTTGAGCGTAAGCAATTTAAATGTTATTTAATAATAAAAAATAAAATAGTAAGAATGAGAATAAAAATTTTATTCTCATTTTATAAATATTTTATCTAAAAATAAAAATAAATGAAAATAAAGAGTGTGAATTAAATAAAACTTGAACATAATTTTAATTTTATGTAAAAAATATGAGGATAAAAAATATATAAAATATATTTTTTTAAATAATGATATATTATTTTTTTATTAAATATTAATTATTTCTATTATCATCGTTATTCTTGTTTTTATCATCCACGTAAGTGGTATGACAATTTTTTTAGTTATTATTATTATTCCACTACTACTACTCTTCTTTTAATACTAATTTTTTTAAATATATTATTATTATCATCACTATAACAATAATAATCTTTATGAATTTTATTACTATTACAATAGATGAAATTATTTTTTAATCATTATTTTTTTCGTTTTAAAAATAAAAAACAAAAAAATTTATTCATTATATTTTTATTATTATTTCGAATACAATTTTAAAATAAAAAACATCATTTTTATTTTGGTTTTTACATCACATTTCAAACCTTTCATAATAACCAAAAAATTTTAGAAGTTAAGTAATTTAGTTTATCAAATTAGTTTATGATTTATTGTTTTTTTTTTTTTTTTTTTTTTGAGCTATTGAGATGCTATAATACCTGATAAGAGACGAGATGAACGAGTGACTCTTAATTATGGACCTAAGAGTACAGTAGAAATAATTAATTGATTCACATAATATTAAAGCTTCAACGGATTGTGTCAAATTACACAAATAACATAACATAATATTAAAGCTTAAACTCATCATATCATACTACAAAAATATATAGAAATTATTTAAATAAAAAATGATACCATTGCTCCAACATGTTCCACATATATTTTCAAAATGTTTACCTTCTAAAAATACCAATTTTTTTGTTTAATTCAATTTTCATAAATTTAAGGATAATTTTGATAAATTTGTGGATAAAAAAGTTTGTTTTATTTTTTTTAATTTTTTAGATTTAAATCTCTGAACGAATTCTTAAAAATATTTATTAAATTTTATTACATCAACATAATATAAAAATAGATTTAATTTTAATTGATATGTACGTCGGCACGAAGATGTCCCTTGAGGTGCAATAAAAAAAATAAAAGGAAAGTTTCGAAAATAAGCAGTTAAGACAGTTAGTCCTGAAACCGAATCACTACATGTTCTGTCTCCCTAGGCCCTCCTTGATGCCCCTCTCTTTTTCTTCCTTCATTAATTTACGAAGATTGAGACTGAAAGCACTGATGATGTTGAAAGAAACTGTTGTGAAGAAAACAAAAGCAAGAAACCCCACCAAACCAAACAGCTCATCACTCACTAGTAAGCTTTCTTCTTCTTTATGAGAGATTTTTCTTTTTTCTCACGTCTTTTGCCTTACAACTACCACCAATCAATCAATCAATGCTCTAGCATAAATACAATCAACAGTTACTTGCTCTCATTTCCCTTACCTTAACGGCTACTTTTCTTTTTCTCTCCCTTGATATTTCCAATTTACCCCACCGTATTCTTGGGCCTCAAAAACTTGTTTCTGATCAGTGAGTCATGGATTTCTCATCTTTCTTGACGTCCTTAGGGACGTCGTTTGTGATATTCATAGTATTAATGCTTCTCTTTACATGGCTGTCGAGAAAGCCTGGAAACTCCGTCGTGTATTACCCCAACCGGATCTTGAAAGGTCTGGATCCCTGGGAGGGTGGGACAAGGACCCGCAACCCATTTGCTTGGATCCGGGAAGCCCTCTCTTCCAGCGAGCAGGACGTTGTAAACATGTCCGGTGTGGACACTGCTGTCTACTTTGTCTTCTTGAGCACTGGTATTTAACTAATTGATGGAATTCTCTCTCTCGCTTTTTTTTTTTTAATACGTTTGTGTGTGCGCCTTAATTGATATGTTTTGATTAATTTATGGAGTAGTCAGAATCATACTATTTATGGATTGCTTTGTTGCTGTGAATCTTTCAATTGCGTCCATTTTTGGTAGCATTAGATAAGATTAATCTATGGGTTCCTGTTCCTTAATGAATTTATTCACCTATCTCACTCTCTCTGAGCCCGGCGCAGTCTTTTTTTTTTGCCTCTCTCCTGTTCCAATCGATGTAATATTTCTCAGACAATTGCTCGCCTCACTTTTTTTTGTTTTTTTGTTTTTTTGATATATGACAGTGCTGGGAATATTGGTTTTGTCTGGCCTTATTCTGCTGCCGGTTCTTCTGCCTATTGCTGCCACAGATGTGAAACTCCAAACAACTAAAAGCAATCAGACTTTTAGTGAACTTGAGAAGTTATCAATGGCAAATATTAAGGTACCACCAAAAAAAAAAAAAAGGGAATGCCTTATGACTTGCTCCTTTTTCATTTTGCTCAATGGGAATTTTATTTTATTTTAAATTATTTGTACTGCACCCTTTCATCTAATAGAATCCTCTGCGTGCTACTTTTGTCTATAAATATGTCTGCAGGATAAGAGTCCAAGGTTGTGGGCATTCCTGATTGCGACCTATTGGGTTTCTTTTGTTACCTATTTCTTGTTATGGAAGGCTTATGTACATGTTTCTGGGCTGAGAGCAAATGCTCTAATGTCTCCTAAACTGAAACCAGAGCAATTCGCTGTTCTTGTAAGAGACATACCTCCTGTTCCTGTGGGCCAAACTAGAAAAGAACAGGTCGATTCATATTTTCAATCCATTTATCCGGAGACATTTTATAGATCAATGGTGGTGACAAACAACAAAAAGGTATTTTTTAAATTAGTTTCTTTCTATCCATACTCTTGCCACTTACCATGATTGCTTTGGATTGCACACCCTAAATTGCTTCTGTAATTCTAGTCAGCCCACATTTTTAGTTTCTAATTCTTTTCAACTTTCAGAATTTATTATTAAAAAAAATTGAAAAGGAACTTAGTGTTAGTGATATAATGATGCCATAACAAGTATCTTTGAGGTTATCTTAAGTATTTCTTGTCTTGCATTCAAGAGAATGAAAAGGGATGGAATAGTCAAGATAATTAGGACCCTTGGCCATGTCGATTGTGCATTTTCCTTTTCTGTGTTGTGCTATATACTGTAAAAGTTGTGCTGATTTTGGACCTTTCTTCTCTGAGTTTTACTCTTTTAGGTTAACAAGATTTATGAAGAATTGGAAGGATACAAGAAGAAGCTCGCACATGCAGAAGCCGTATATGATGAATCCAAAAGAACAGGCAAACCAGAAGGATTGAGACCAACCACCAGAACTGGCCTCCTTGGTCTTGTTGGTAGAAAAGTAGATAGCATAGAGTACTTCAATGAGAAGATTAAAGAGCTACTCCCAAAGTTGGAAGCCGAACAGAAAATCTCTCTCAGGGAGAATCAACAAGCTTCTGCTCTTGTCTTCTTCACCAACAGGGTGACTGCAGCTTCTGCTGCTCAGAGTCTACATGCCCTAATGGTCAACACATGGACTGTCATGGATGCCCCTGAACCACGTCAAATAATATGGCCTAATCTCAAAATTAAGTTTTTTGAGAGGCAAATCCGGCAGTATGTTGTTTATTTTATTGTGGCTTTGACCATAATGTTTTATATGATACCAATAGCCTTTATTTCCGCATTAACAACCCTGGATAATCTGAAGAAACTTCTCCCGTTTATAAAGCCAATTGTGAATATTGACGCAGTTAAAACAGTGCTGGAAGCTTACCTCCCTCAGATTGCACTCATTGTGTTTTTGGCACTGTTGCCCAAGTTACTTTTGGTTCTCTCTAAGGCGGAGGGAATTCCTTCAGAGAGCCATGCAGTAAGGGCTACTTCTGGAAAATATTTTTATTTTACTGTACTGAACGTTTTTATTGGAGTCACACTGGGTGGAACCTTATTCAGTACATTCAAGAGCATTGAGGATGATCCAAATTCTATTGTTAAATTGCTTGCGACTAGCCTCCCGGGGAATGCAACTTTCTTCCTGACTTTTGTGGCTCTGAAGTAAGCTTACTATTTTAACTTATAATTCTTTTCCTCCTAGAAAACTATGTTTTTAGTCGATACCCCTACAAAGGATTTTAGAAGACAACCAAAGCTGTTTTATATCATTCAGCTATCGAACTATACTCCCTTTATTACAAGATCTTTGTGTTGCCAAACCACTTGGGCGTCAAAAGAATCTCTTATCTTAATGTATTTGTCTTTTCTATTTCAATTTATTTTTATCTAAATGGTTTGTCTGTTAATCCTTATTCGTTTTGGAATGCATTTTTTCACTTTCAAGTATTTTGTCTCTCTCAGGTTTTTTGTTGGCTATGGACTTGAGCTGTCTCGTGTAGTTCCTCTAATCATTTTTCATCTAAAGAGGAAGTATCTATGCAAGACTGAAGCTGAGCTAAAAGAAGCTTGGTCACCTGGAGATTTAGGATATGCAACTAGAATTCCCGGTGACATGCTTATTATCACAATCGTTCTTTGCTACTCTGTCATAGCCCCTCTGATTATTCCATTTGGAGTAGTGTACTTTGGCCTGGGATGGCTTGTCCTTAGGAATCAGGTAAGGATCTCACACATATATGTATTCCCCGCAGAGTCTCTTGAAAATTTTCCATGTTGGAACAAATTTTTGAATGATTTGTTTGAATTTGGGAATGATCAATCTGTTTGGCTGGCAGTATGTGCCTATGCCATATGTCTTTCTATTTTCATTTTTCCTTGAACTGTTACAGATTTTGGCAAATAGAAGCTGGTAGTATTATTACAAACCCGTTTAAATTTTGAAAGATTTTTGCATTAGAATGTTGTTACTCATCATGCTAATTGATAATAATTGCAACTGTTTAAATCTAACAGGCACTCAAAGTTTATGTTCCATCCTTTGAGAGCTATGGCAGGATGTGGCCCCACATTCATACACGAATCATAGCTTCTCTGTTATTATACCAAGTTACAATGTTCGGTTATTTTGGGGTGAAGAGATTCTCCTTCTGTACGTTGTTTCTAATTCCACTGCCGATACTTTCGTTGCTCTTCACCTATGTCTGTCGGAAGAAGTTCTACCGATCTTTCTCCAACACGCCTCTTGAAGTTGCTAGCTTTGAATTGAAAGAAATTCCTAATATGGAACATGTCTTCAGATCTTTCATCCCACCAAGCTTGAGCTCTGAAAAGGCTGATGATGAGCAGTTCGAAGATGCATTATCACAAGTTTCAAGAACCGGATCATTCGCTTAATAGTACACTGTTGTTTTATCTAATTTCTTTGTGAAGTCGTGTAGCTTAACTTCTAAAATTTGGACCATTTGTTGATTTGTGGCCCTCGTCATGTATTTGTAACATAGTTTTATTTTTATAGCTTTTGTGTGGCTTCTGTGCAATGTCTCATTTGATTCTCTTTACTTGATTTACTCGGGAGTTAGTGATTTTTACAAATCCTGATTATGATCAGATGCATTATCAATTAAGTTCGACAAGTTGACGGAGCTCATAGTAAGTCGACAAATCATATTGATTTTTTGGCAAAAAAAAAAAAAATTACTCGTAATTTTTGTTTCATTTTTAAAGAGAGAATGGCGTTTGAAGTGTTTTTATTCTTTCATTTTTTCCTATTTGATCTCTTGGTCAAGTGATTGTACTTCTATTAGTTTTTGTTACCAATTAAAATTTTCTTTTTTTGGAGAAGCTGGATGTAATACTTGGGATTTAATCTGTAAGGAGGTGACCATTAAGTTGAACATGTTAAGATTTTAAAATGAAATAAAACATAATAATAATAAACTAACAAGGTTTTTAATAGAAAAAACCTAATAAAGATTTAGGATCTATTCTAAGAGAAGCAGTAATATATATATATAAAGCAGTAAAGAATGCTATAAAGAGAGTTGTAAATAATGATAAAAGCATAAAGCTAGAAATAAAGCATAGTTGAAAAGCATTAAAGTGAATGGTTTGAAAGATAAATTTTCATAGAAAAACATATATCGAGGCAGGCGAAAAAATTACAATGGTAGTGCTTCTCTATTTATAAAGAATATTAAACTTAATGAAGGAATAAACTTAATTAAAAATAAAATTTACTAAAATATTACTAAAAAAAACTAAAAGATCTCATTTATTATAGCATTTTCCTTTTTTTTTTTTTTTAAGGGCTGGGTTGCAGTGGCCAAGTAGTTCATTTTTTAATGCCTGTAATTTATGTTTGTTCGCTATATTCCTTAGTTATATGCAATATCATGATTTATATACCATTCTAATTTTTGTTTAATGCATATGTCATTATATTTATCAATGATTCTACTAAGACTTTTGGTAAGAATTGAATTTGATAAATTTTGAGATCATAATCAATAAACATGAGAACATAATAATAGTGGACTGGAGAATATTTCTTCTCAAGCGAGCTCGGCCTCGGCTCATAGGTCCGCATAAATAGTCCCAACCAGCGTATGTCTTTTTTTTTTTCCTTCCAATAATCTATTTTTTTATTTTTTTATCATGAAATTAAGTGTGAAAATATAAAAGAGGATCGTTATTTTTTAAAAAAATTTTATGTACGAGTTTGATGGTAATAGAATTCATATATGATATTTTTTAAAATTTTAGTTTGAATATATATATCTAATTATATTATTTTTATTGTTTAAAATTTATTTCTTCAATTGTTTTTTCTTATTAAAATTCTTATCGAATTAATTTTTTAATTTTATATAATTTTATTTGTTAATAAATTTGATTTTTTTATATATGGCTTTTGAAATAAAATTTTAAAACATGATTATTTTATTTTTAAAATATATTATTATAATTTATGCAACTGATCATTTTTATGATTTTTAAATTAGAATAGCGTAGTTGCATATATAAATTATGATGTGAGAGAGAGAGAGAGCTAAAAGCGTGTTTTAGATAATTTGACTTGATTTTTTTTAAAAATAATAATCATTCAAAAAATAATTTGACTCAGCTTTTTTTAAATTAATAATTAGTTAAAAAATTCATAAGTTTTATTTGGTTATATATATATATATATATATATATATATATATATATATATATATATATAGTTTTTTCATATATAAATTCCGAAGAGAGAAATAGCTAAAAGTGTGTTTTAGATAATTTGACTTAATTTTTTTAAAAAATAATAATCGGTTAAAAAAATAATTTGACATAGTTTTTTTTTTAAAAAAATTAATAATTAGTTAAAAAAATTCACGAGGTTTTATTTGGTTTTCTATATATAAAAATATCAAAATTTATCGAAACCAATTTTATAGTAGTTTTTATTTAATCTATTCACTATGATATATTCCATGCGATTTAAGTGGGTTTTTTTAATTTATTTTATATACTTTGAATTTGTTAAGTAAAATATATATATATATATATATATATATATATATATATATATATATATATATATATATATATATATATAGTTTTGTTAGAAATTAATTATATCTACACACATAATACCAATTATTTGTTATTTATTTTTTTCATGTTCTAAAATCTATATTTTTAAATAAAATAATTTAATTAATATTTTAAAAGAACATCTTAATTATTCAAATATAAATTTTTATATTAATATTATAAATTATTTTTTCAATAAATATATATAAATCAAATAAGTTTGCTTTATATGTATATTTGATTTATATTAATCTCTAGAAATAAAACATCTATTTGCATCCCACCATATGAATAATTAACCTTGTATATATAATGATTATTTAACCGTAACATACCGTTTGTATCTAACTAGTTTTTTACTAAACCAAATTAAATTTAGCCAAAGGAGAGACCGTTACTGCAGCTTCTGTTTTGCCAATAATAGTAAAGAAATTTGGCTTGTCTTCACATGATTTGGCCTTTCATGTTGTTTGAAATATTGAATTTAGTCCTTAAACTCCAAAAGCTTAACAATTTGGCCTAATTGCTAAAGGCTGATTAGAAAATGTTTATTTTTGAACGTTAACCAAGCCCCCTATGTTTCTTTACCTGATTGTCAAAGAAAGATGAGAGAATATTTCCGTCTAAGATCTATAAGTCAAATATTTTATTTCTGATAGAGCTTGGTAAATAACTCTGTTCGAAATATAAATAAACCAGCATTGATTGAAGTTTGAATAAACCACCACCAAAGACATCATATATCTTTCTCTCTTGATCAATATTGATTAATAAAATAGCCAATGGCATGAGTTTGATGACCTTTCATTTCTGTTATCACTAAAGTGTATATAACTAAGTCCATTATCTCGATCAATCATCAAGTATAATTGATCCTACTTCAATTAAAAATCATGCAAAACATATAAAAAGTATCAAAAGGCCAATTGAATCAAACACTTGCATCAATTATTCGTCATCCAATAAATCTTCAAAAAAATAATTTTTGGTTGGTAGAGAGCCAAAAAATTACCTTTGATAAGTAGCAAATACCATGAGAATGATACGAAGAATATTTATTACCGATGAAACTAATTAGAAATTCTTGAACTAATTTTTCATTGATCTAGAAACAATAAATTTCTTCCTTAGTTGAGTTTATCAAAATGTTAGGCGCAAAAGTGTCTTCAAATGCGACCGAGTCACCCAAATTTTTGGCTCGATGCTAATTTCGGATAAGGTCAAGTTTGTCATCACCTCGGGCATACTATTGGCCACAGATCATGGTTGAATTTGCCAAAACTTTTGGCATGATTTCTTTCACGATCGTAATTGAGTTTCTCACGAGTTTTGGACATAATATTTTCTACGGCTATAATTGAGTTTGCCAAAACTTTCGTTAAGGTTGTTCACGGTTATGGTCGAGTTTGCCATCATCTTGAGACACAATGTTTTCCATGATTATAGTAGAATTAGCCACAACTTCGGTTCAATATTTTCTATGATCGTAGTGATAAAATCTCCTTACACAATTTGAACTAGCTTCTCTTAAGGTAATGGTTAAAGATGAGGCATATTGTGGTGACTAACAAGACCATTTTAAGAAACACAAGTTTTTGCCATATGACTCTTTCTTGGTCATTTAGTGGGTTGAGTAATTTTACTTTTGCGAGTATAAGATTGCCCCCTAAAGTAATTAGACACAAGAGTATTAGTTCCCCTCCCCCAAATATGATCAAAATTAAGTGTATGAGTGTCTTCTAGCTTGATTAGATGCGAAAGCATAAGCTTGCTTCGTAACATGATCAAATACATATTTAAAAATGGAGAAAATACAAGAAATTATTTAGTTTAGCGTATAACAATCTCTTTTCCCTTTTACTCTCTTGACAACATATTAAAAATTCTCACTAACCATACACCTTGTTGTGTTTGGTCACCCTAATCAGTAAGTTAGTGTTGTCGACGGGGGCTTGCGCTTGGGCGGAGTTGCCACCTAGTAATCGAGAGAACTAAGAACTTTAAAACAAACTAGTCTATGCAAATATCTAGGTAAATGGTTGGTTATATATGAGGAACATTAATATCACCACCACAATGATCTACTTAGGTGCTATTTGTGTTGTGTTTATTGTTTATATATTATTTTAATAGTTTTTATATTAAATTCTATAAAATAATTCTAGTTTTTTTTAGTAAGTTTTTATGTGATTTGTTTATTATTTTCAGTTTATCAATATCGTTATTTTTAGTATGTTTTTAATGTATTGTGAGTGTTTGATCTGATTTATGTTTGAATTAGGTTCAATTAACAAATTAAAGGATTGAGAATGTCACGGAGTCATGGCCGTGACTCGGCGAAGAGTAGAAGAGTCATGGCCATGACTCTCTAAGGTGAAGAAAGCCTCACGGTCGTGATCCAACAAGGAGGAGAGAGCTCACGGCCGTGAGTTTCAAAAGGAAGAAAAAAGCCCACGACCAGTGAGTTTCAAAAGGAAAAAAGCCCACGCCCGTGAGCTTAAAAAGGGAAGAAAAGCCCACGACCGTGAGAAAATTTTCGGTGAGCAAATTTTCGGGGATTTAAGTTTAAGGATCGGCGCATAAAGAGGAAAAGGAAGATATTCAAGAGGATATTTCACGGCTCTCTCTAATTTAAAATCCCACGCGGGACAAAGAGAGGGAGAGTAGAGACGGGTGCCGGTAGCCTTGGTTCTCTCCGGATAGCCATTGAAGATAGACAAGAGATCGGGGAAAACGGGTGCCTAAGCTAGAAAGAGATCAACTTCAACTGCAAGAAAACCAAATCAGATTTCTTCCTAAACTCGATTTTATTGCCTTCA